ACCCACTCGAGCCGCAGCAGGTCCCAGGGCTCGGCCGCCAGCACCTGGCACCCCAGGGCCACCCCGCCACCCACCGTCACCCGCACCTCGCCTGGATCCTGGCTCACCCGCAGGGCGCCCGCTGCCGGGAACAGCGTTGGGGTCACGGGGGGCTGCCACCCGCCACCCTGGCAGTCCCCAGGGCCACCCACGGGGCTGACCCACACCTACTGGGCCACCCCAGGGACTGGGAGCCATGTTTGCTGCCTGCTTGTCCTCCCTCACCGCTGCCTCCGGTCGCACATGACCCTGCGTATCCCTCTGTCCCCACCCTGTCCCCCCACCCTGTCCTCATCCTGTCCCTACACATGCTACCTAACCCCATCCTGTCCCCTCCCTGTGTCGCCCTGTCCATCCCCGCTGCCTCCTTCCTGTCCCCCCGCCACAGCCATGTCACCCACCTCTGTCGACCCACCCATCCCCATCCTGTCCCCATGTCTGTCCCTCCCTCTGTGCCCCCAACCCCTCTCTGGTCCCCCCTCAGGACGGGTGTCCCCAGCAGCCCCCCCGCCCCAGCCATCATGCAGGGGCCAGCCTGAGCCCTGTGCCCCCTCGGTGTCCCCCAAACAGCCCGTCCCCAACCCCACAGCCTGGTCATAGGATGCAGACACTGTCCCCTCTGTCCCCCCAGCCAGCCCTGTCCCCCCACTCACCGCCAAGGAGGGGGATGAGGACCCTGAGCCTCCACATCCCCACACCAGCGCCAGCCCAGCCACCCTGCTCTGGGGGCTGCGTCCCCAAGGGGTCCCTGTCCCCAAGGGGTCCCTGTCCCCCAGCTGTCCTTGTCCCCCACAATGCCGCTGTGCCCGAAGCCTCCTGGCCTCTCGTCACCCAGACTGACTCGCTGTGACGCCACGGCTTCCTGCCACCGTGCTGCGCAGGCCAGGGCAGGGCAACGGGGATGGGGCCAGGGACAGGGGACAGGGATGGGGACAGGGGTGGGATGGAGATGGGGACAGGGATGGGGCCAGGGATGGGGGACAGGGATGGGGACAGGGATGAGGACAGGGATGGGGACAGGGATGGGATGGAAATGAGGACAGGGATGGGGGACAGGGATGGGGACAGGGATGGGGGGGAGATGGG